ATGGCCATCAGACAGATCAAGAGCGGCGAAGCAGCGGGATCAGACAACATTCCAGCAGACACGGCAGCAACTGCAAAATTATCCCACATTCTCTTCAGACAGATTTGCGAAGAAGAACGAGTACCAACAAAATAGAACGAAGGACACTTGTTCAAAATACCTGTTTTGCTCGCCACTTGATTTACTTGAAACCATTACGAGTTCATCTTAGTCAATGAAAGAGAACGCGATAATGAACCATTGACAGGGCAGGCTACTCTGATCCGTTGCCTCAAATAACTGACGAGGAAGTCGTGATATAGCATAGAAAGTGTATTCTACAAACACCCAGCCAGAACATAATGAATCAAGCACAAAAATTGCGTTTATTTATATATCATAGAAACATCGTTGGGGGAGTAAAAAATGGCGTACTAAAATAACACATCAACCAATCACAGACAAGGAAGTTCCTGTTGGGAAATGTAATCTCAAGGTCAACTAATTAACCCATAAATGAAATTCTACATTAAGACATTTATCAAGTGAGTTCTGGGGATCTAACGTCCCCACAATACCAACTGAATATGGTCTCAGCAGGTGTGAGAACTACTGAGGCACAAGTATTCTCTCAACATCAGGCGAAATCTTGAACAGCGTTTGATTAAACAGAATGAAGGATTTCGTAGACGCCTAAATTCGAGATCAACAGGCTCGATTCCGCAAGGACCAAGAAAGTTCTACATTATGGAGCGAGAACTTGAAAAACTACCGAAGCCATCATTCAGAAGATACAAGTGTTCATTAACATTCGGCTGCGCAAAATACTTCGGATCTGTTGGCCAGGCACCATCAGCAACAACCTACTGTGAGAAAGAACAAATCAGATTCCTGTGGAGGAAAAAATCAGGAAGAAGAGTCGGAAATGGGTAGGATACACATTGAAAAATGCACCCAGCTGTATCACAGGACAAGCTATTACGTGGAATTTCTAAAGCCAACGTAAAGGAGGCATGCCAAGAAACACATTCCTCTGAGAAATGGAGAGAGGCATGAGAATAATCAACAAAATTTGGACAAAACTAGGAAGGAAGGCCGAGGACAGAGCAGGCTGGTGAATGCTTGTCAGCAGCCTATGCTAATTTTGGGCTGGCAGGTGTAAGTAAGTAGTAAGTAAGTTAGTAAGTAGGTAAGTAATGAAGTCCACTTATCGAGACTTTCAAGCAGATTACGCGTCTGAAGATGAGCTAAGAGTAAACATAAAAGGTTTATGATATGTGATGAGAGTAAATTCTCGGCCTACCGCAGATGGTTGAAGGTGTCTTACATCACAGTGTATGGCTACGAGTTCCCAAACGAAATTTCTACATCTCTGTTCAGTGTCTTGCTCAGTGACATGCGTCAGCTGCGATAATAATGAGTAGCTCTTTGTCGAGGTGTGCCATCTTAGCTGACATTGAGATATGTTCTTTCACCATGGAAGATGCTTTCTTCTTAGTGTCGGCCAAATTAATGTTTTTCGTATTGCCGAACTAGGAGTACGCGTGACATCCTCAGAATCTTCAAAATTTTGAACTTGAAAAAGGGCTTAGTGATGGTAACTTCCGTGGTTTGTTGAAAGGATAGATCAACATTCATCTTCAGTCCAGAAGTACTGCTAAAGGTACCTAGTCTTACATCACTTTCGCTAAAAGGTAGTGCTGTGTTCTTTCAGATTGTTGGAAAGATCTAAAGAGCTATTAAACTATCGAGTGGATAAAAGCTGTTTACTAAATACACACAGATTGCAAAAAGCCGTCAAGTAGCAATTTCTGTACAGAAATTTTTCGAAGTTTGAACACTATAAATGGGATATATCTTTGGGAACAAAGACATTTACCCATTATCATCCGTCGTCTAGATGCAGCCAAGCAGTATTGATTACTTAAAATCTCAGACTGCTAAGTAAAGATGCAAACTAAATCAAAAGATTGTTATCATAAACAAGGTTTTTGAATTTTCTGTTGATGAGTTGTTTATTCGTCTTAGTATTGCCGACACGTCTAAATCTGGTGTTTCTTGTTTCACTTGCTATCGTGAAAATAGGGCGTATTAAGTCGAGAAATGAAGACGTATGTTCTTATTTATTACTTAACGTCAGTAAACAAATTAAAAATCTCAGTGACCTTTGTCAATTGAATACGGTGATTCCCATTTCCGTAACCTAACACTTTTAGGGAAGACAGAATTCCATGGACCAAAGACAAATAGGATAAAATTTATCCTTAGTTGACAACAACGACATTAAGGAATTCCTCACCGGCATCACTTTATACATGCTTCACCCGAAGTATCGTCTTAGGGACTAGGCGGTGGCCAGAAATCTGATTTTTGAGTGTTATTCTAATGCAAACTATTTGTTTGAACGAATATCCTGGTTGGTACCACGTCATTTTGACTGAACAAATATTCTTTTCCTCAGACTATAACTTTTTACTGTATATCTGTTAGCTGAGTGAGATTTTTATGTCTCCCAACAACTACGATTATTTGCCAGTTAATTCTCGTAATATGGGAACCTTAAAGTCATATAAAGGATACTTCAGGAGAAATTTTTGAAAACTAGGCCCCGAGCCGTTCATAATTTGAAAATCGAGATGACCAGTGTTCTGAGATAGATGGAGAATATCACCATCATTCAGCCTTCATTGTTTATAGTACTGGAAAGTTACCAACGATTTATTTCTCAATATCTCACTGAGTTCATTGTTGGGTAAACATAATACTCTAAGTCTTTCGTCCGATAAGCAATCACTTATAAATGACCGATTTAATGGGTCAGGTTGGATACACCAGATAGGACAATCTGTGAAATGTATTAATGATGGACGACTACCAAGTGTCAACGTGTTACATACTTTTCAGACATGTGAGATAAAGGCGTAACATATATGATAGGGAAAACCTAGGTGTATATATTGTTACACAAGATTTTCAACACTATTTTCAAATAGTTGTCTAATAAGTACCGTTCAGACAGGCAGTTTTGTTAGACCACATGTCTTAGCCTACTTCTACTACTCGACAGGTATCTCATATGGTTTCCTTCAACATGAAGATAACGAGTTTTCAAACTGTTTTGAATGACACATAAATCTAATCACCTGAAGTTTATGTGGACTGATCCTAGACAACAGTTAACAGTAATGAGCATTGGAGAGTTATCCTGAACATCTAGCAATTAAGAAACTTCAGGTGATAGAACTCTGACCTAAAGTTTAAGCGCTCATCCTGAGATCTGATTACTTCCACCCGAACATGGGTTTTAATAGTGGATGAATTCGACTCTAGGAAGGAACGGCCTTCCAGTGCTTTTTGATTGTTTCTTGTCGTCTAAGACAAGTTGCTAAACTGAACTGTAACATTCATTATCAGAAAGAATTTGACTGGAACTGATAGTTAGATTGTTAGTGGGAATAAATTATTATTATTATCTATTATATCCGAGACAATAACACCGTAACAAATTTATCAGTATGCTTCAAAAAGGTACATTAGCACTGCTGAGCAAGCCACATGGTTACTTAGAAGATAGGGAATGAATCAAGAAATGAATTGATGATCGCGTAGCAGTCTAGGTAATAAAAGGTGCAACAAGAATAATTGTAACGAGTCCTGGAGGTCCATTTATGAGTCGACGCAGTGCTGACTCTACTCATTTCAATCGAGCCCGTCGATTGAAATATGTGGTTTATCTCAGACAGTGCTTTACGGCAGTATATATTAAGGACACAGATACATAAACTATCCTTTCCAACTTTACAGACAGATGCATTGAAAACTTCAGTGACTCACTTTAAATATGTATAGTTTTTCGTTCCGATTGATTACTCGGTACTGATATTCCAAAGGCTGTTGTGAGGGAATTTTGTTGACATCCACAAGCTACTAGATCAGATGCGAATACGTTAAAGAAAGTAGAATTATTTTATTCGTTGCACCTATTTCATAGCACAATGAATGTTGATAATGATCGAAATTATAAATGACAGGACTTTTTGTCTTGAAGAAGAATACTTACTTGTCATGGTATAAAAATCAAACTTTTAAGTAAGCTCCCACTCCTTCCCACTAGTCATATTACTGGCTGTATATTGTCTTCTTCGGATAGTGAGAAAACTTGATATCAACACTGGTTAATTGTGTGATAAATATTTAAGAATAGACTGGATCGGTTGTACATAGTTCGTAGTTTTGAACAATATAGAAACCATAAAGATACACTGTTCAGCGTTATCCACTTTCGTTTATTATCACCATGGTTATCTGATGAACCATAACAAGCATTGTTATTGGTATGGAGATGGTTCACATCGACTTATTCTCTAGGTAGTTTTCGTCAGTTTCGCTTAACCTGTACAGTCATTGTTATTGACTGTGAAATCATTTACGAAATGTTTATGCGGACAGAAACCAAACTTGCACACTATCTGGTTATAGTCAGAAACAAACAGAACAGGCACCTATTTGACGGTGGTTCCTATAGTTAGAAATCTGAAGCGTTTGGTTGATGAGTGAGCGACGAAAAGGATAACTTAATATTTCAAGTAGAGTCGGTAAAAACTCAACGTTATCATGTCATCTAAAAGTATCAGTCACTAATAATGTCCACTAAACGGCATATATTTCGGGACAATTCTTATTATATAGTTGATTGGAGATATAAATTTTTTTATGCTGTAATTTTTCTAGCATAAGTAACTTCACTACATATTACACGTCCGTAGTATTATGGAGTAATATTTTTGTCGGAGAAAACTTACCACTTTATTGAGTATCATGAATATCAAAGTCTTGAATTGAAAATAATCACTCTCACTTTATTCGTATCGAATGAAGTACGACATAAGAATGAAGAACAAAAGTAGAGATTATTTCCATTTTCAAATGATACAATTGATTTTTAACAGCGCGCTCACATCTGTACAAGTTCTTAAAAAAATTATTTATTTAAATCTAATTCTTCGGGTGAAAAAGTAGTTGTTTTCTTAATATCTCTATAAATTTAATGTTATATTTCGCGACTGCCTCAATTGTTTTAACCCTCCAGTTGAGCGTCCACTCACCATCTTCTTGAACATCTGCGATGTTGGTGGAGTTTAGTGACTAGTGCATGTTCGGATAATTGAACTAGGACTTTTATCATAACTCAAGATGGGCGAACTAGATCAGTTGCGTCAGGAAACAGAACAGCTGAAAAGTCAAATTAGAGTATGTTCGAAAAACATGATTAGTTTATAGTGTATTACTACATAGGAGGCCCGAAGAGTTGCAGCTGACACCACTTTACAACAGGCGACAATTAATGTAGAGTGTATCAGCCGCACTCAGTTGCGCAGTAGACGGACTTTACGTGGACACTTGGCGAAAATTTATGCTATGCACTGGTGCTCAGATTCCCGAAACTTAGTTTCGGCTTCTCAGGACGGAAAGCTAATAGTATGGGATGGATATACCACCAACAAAGTAAGTCTCTAAAGTCGAACAGAAAGTTGACAGTGTTATTATTGCTTTAAGTGTAAGACTGAGTCCTCGAAAGTGACAATTACATCATAGAGTTTTATAGCTTCACTTTCGTCATCACCTGGCTACCTCACTTTTTCGTCTATAAGCCTGAAAAGATATATCCCGTGGGCGGTTTTGTAGTACAAGTCATTTTTACCAACTAGTGTTACATAACTTTCTAGTATTTGTTGCTAGTGATTTATTAGTTCGCTTAACCCAGGGTAACGAAATTGTTCTGTAACCCTCTTACACAGTCGCTGTCTACAATTATTCACATTTCATCACCATCCGAAAAACATGGGATATACTCTTATAATATTATTACTCTAAATTTGCACTCCTGTGTTCTTTAGTCTTCAGTAGTTTCTGTGACTTGCATCATCGAGTATTTAATTAGTATAGAACACTCCTTTTGAGTATTCAGAGTACTTGAATAGCTATTCAATGTAAAGAAGTTTTAGTAATTGTGATAAGAATAAAACGATAATGTGATTATCTCAGTCATTAGAAACCTCGGGTTAGCACTCCTGAATCATCGTTTCATCCTTGAGTTATTTTAGTGAAGAAAATAATATTAGGATTCGCCGCTGAAAGTCATGGATTAGCCGTTTTCGCCTATAAGTCTGATCAAGATAAGCGCTATAAATTCTGAGGCTCAATAATTTAGTCTTAAATACCGAGTCAGTGACTGATTAGTTTCCGGAATCCGTTAATCGATCTAACTAGTTTCATTATCTAATTAAAGGGATTAGTAGGTTTGCTACGAATTACTGCACCTCAGAGAACACTGCAAATGGATTAAATTAACAGCAGATTTTCCGTGGGAAAAACAGCATGACAATAGAAATTACCAACTAAAAACGAAGCGTTGACTTCAAAGAATAGTGGTCGACACGACAAAAGTTTAAGATGAAGATAACACTAACCAAACAATAAATCTTGAGATAAACGCACAGTTAGTTCTGCATAAGGTATGTCGTACCACTGCTTTTAACTCTGAGATCGACTGGTTGATCCACTTTTCTAGAGTGGTCAAGGGTGTCTAAATACTGGTTGTCCCAGTCTGTTTGAACCGATAGTGCGTTATGTTTAAAAGTCCTGCCGAATGAAAAACCGAAATCCGTTGTGCTGAAATCGTCACAACATGACCTTATCTAGGGGAAATGATTGGTAAGGTTAACCTACTTGTTGAGGTAGCTCATTTAATGTCATCTCATTTACACGGGCTGACAGCAGGAACCATGATGTTAGTTAGTCTCACACTGTGACATTCAAAGTGACTGTGATCAGGTTGACAGTCAAACTCGTTACTGCGGTATCATTTGCATGAAGCAAGTTGATCTAAAAGTCCACTCCTGGGATGCTAATAACATTATTCTCCAAATTTCAGGTTACCCAACTATCGAGATTCTGGATGTTCTACGACGAAATTCTATTCTAATCAAATTACTAGTGTTGGAGATGCATCTTTAGTTCCGAATCGTTTGCTTGCTATGAGTGGGTTTTCGGTTGTTAAAATTCAAGTTAATCAGCCTTCGAATTAGTTGTGCCGTCGCATCGACCCACTACTTACGCTACTTTTATAAACCGTAGCTGTGGAACTACCATAAGTGCAGCTGTCGTCTTATTCCATGTTTTTGTTCGTGCCGCCTATAATGGCGTGTGTGTCACAAAGGTTTTTGTTTCTAATCAAATTCAAGTTTGGTAATGAGTGTTGAAAAGACCTTTATTTACGAGGTCCTGAGTGTTTATAACAAGTTTGCACAATATTGCATGAGAAATTTAGTCTAGCTTGTCTGACTAATCGCTTTACGCTTTTAGTGGGTTCGTATTGTATCAGGTCGCCATATTCCTTATCTATCCCCGGGTCTTCCCGAAAACCAGCTAATTTGGGAAAGGTTTAGTCACATCAACGTAAAGTGTAAAGAGATCTTTCCCACTACTTCATCCCTTAACATACACTCCGGGGTTACTGTAAAACCTATCACTATCATTTGACGATTGGCATTACTAGTGCCTATTTCATCATTTCAGTAACCTTTGGTTGATAGTGTCGTAAACAGCTTGTGGATCTTGAGTTATGAACTTAAAATATCTAAAGACATCGATTGAGCCTTAGAAAAAGGCACCCACCTCTTGTTTGACACTTGTCTCTCAAATTAACTAACACGTAACTTCTATGATTGAGTTTTATTTGTACACTACTTTTTTAAGTAGGTTTAAGTAGATATTAAACGTCCACTTCCTTCATTCTTTGTTGATTGTTTTAGGTTCATGCTATTCCTTTGAGAAGCAGTTGGGTCATGACGTGTGCCTACTCTCCATCAGGAAATTATGTAGCCTGTGGCGGTTTAGACAATATATGCTCAATCTATAGCCTCAAAACTAGGGAAGGTAATGTTCGGGTTAGTCGAGAACTCCCTGGTCATACTGGTTATTTGTCATGTTGTCGTTTCGTAAATGACAGTCAGATAGTTACAACTTCAGGTGATGGTACTTGGTAGGTTAATTATGTTCAGGTTTGTTTAAATACTCGTTTCATAATGAATAAAAGTTATTGGATATCTAACCTAGTGTTCAATGCAATATGTTGTGTCCATACCCTTCTATACCTTTGGTATGGGAACCTAGTATTATCCCTAGCCACCAAAGCCAGTATGATGTAGTTGAGTACTTAAACTCCTACTGAGTTGCGTTAAATTCATTTAAGTTATTCTGTATTGGTTAAGATTTGAGTTTCTCTTCTCTAGTAGTTTTTCCTTTCGGTTTTCTTGAGCGCTGGTTTAATAGTTAAGGGGTTTTACTTCCAACCACTTAGTCCTAGGTTTGAACCCTGCTTCACTAACTTCGTTTTACGCAACCGAGTAAAATCATTAGATTCCACACCTAACGTAGCTGATGCACAAGTACCTGGCAATCAGGTTTACTTTATTTAGTATTTTGAATACCATATGGCATACGGGGAGGATTTTATTCTTCATAACATTCTTTATAAGTGTTGTCACATTTTTCTGTGGTACAATTTCTTGATACCCAAAAGTGCCAAAACATTCATTGCTAATATGTGGGTGGATGGTACTTATTTCATGTTTATCAATAAGATATGCTTCTGACCATTCGAAAATGCTTATGGGAGGTCAAAGCTTATGTATTAAATACCTTACAAATGTTTCCAGTGTTGATTTATTCTTGTGGCAAATCAAGAAGATATGCTTTTAGAGATAACATTATCTTCGTCTGACTTCAAAAATGGAGCTGCTATAGGAGACTCGCTTATTGACTTAGAATATGCCGATGACATAGTTCTGTTTGGCGAGGATGCTGACAAAATGCAGTCTTCTGAACACCTTAAGGAACAATGCAAGCATATTCGGGACGCGGTTTTCCCATTCAAAATGCAAAATGCTGCTTCAGGATTGGCTAGCATCGGTACCTAGAGTAGGTGGGCATGCTGACCGCTTCACTTATCGCGGGAGTCTCATCTATCCTGATGGCCTGGTGATTGACGAAATTTCACCACCAATGCAGAGGGTTCGATTGTCTTTGGCCAACTTACGTCACCTATGGCGTAGGCGAGATATCCGTTTCCTAACCAAGGGACGAGTGTACTGTGCAGTCCTAATTTATGGCTGCGAAACATGGCCGGTGAGGGTAGAATATATTCGTAGGTTCCTGGTTTTCGATCGTAGGTGTTTTCGAAGCATTGCTCGTATATTCTGGGACAGCCGACTAAGCAATACTATAGTCAGGAAACGAGTACTAGGTAAGGTTGGCAGGTCGATAAGTGAAGTATTAAAACTTTGTCAGTTGAGTTGGTTGGGACATGTGTTACGTATGCCCAGTCACCGACTGCCTTGTCGAGCAATGTTTTGTGGTGTAGGAGTAGGTTGGTAGAATGCTACGGCGGTTAGACCAAAACATGGCAGAAATCCATAAAGTCACAGACAAGTGGACTATCCGGTTAGGGTCCGCGAGACGAAAGTAACCGATGGTTAGAGACCTTGAACGACATGGCTCAAAATAGTTTGCAGTAGCACAGGTGCACTCACCTTTTGTGTTCTCTCAAATTCTAATCTTCAGAATTCCTGATCACTATCTGTCTCCTTTTAAACTTATCTAACTGGCTTATACTTCTCGAATCATATCTTCGAACCCTAATCTTCTCCATTACTGCTGATACTTCTACTACCTCTACCACTGAGATTTCAATTGAAGATTGCGTCTCTGCTAATGTGGTATTGTAACCTGAACTTATGTACTTACGTATGAAGTTCTATGTTGTAACTAACTGACTGACTGTGGCACATCAGGTTTATATTTCATTGGGGTTGAAATCAGATATGATTTGGTGTTCCGAAAGATTTCTGTCCTTGTTGTTATTTTCATTGTCGATTCCATAGTACATGTAATGCTACATTTTTTCCCGAGCATTGTTGAAGTTGCACGCCAATTTAAATGTATGCAGTTATAAATTTTTTTTTCTTATTTACTACGTTTTAGCGCTCTTTGGGATATCGAAACTGGTCAGCAGATTGCCTCGTTTACAGGGCACACTGGTGATGTAATGAGCTTAAGCCTAGCACCCAATCTCCAGACGTTTGTTTCAGGTGCATGTGATGCTTCTGCAAAGGTTGGTTTTATTTATTCACATAATACTTTTCCATAATAAAATATTTTAAAGATTGATGTTAAGTGACAGTATGGTATGATTTATATTTTGTCAAGTTATAAAAAATTTCGTTAATTCACCGAGATTTCGCCTCGCAAGCTTGTTAAAGGTTACGGGACCTGGTTTTTTGGTCCGTATCCTTAAGTAATTTTTTTTATGTAACGGCAATGTTGCTTATAGATACTGGGTGGTAGTATATACTCAGTGATCGATGTTGAATAACTTTGTCTATATAATTAATATGCTTAAACGGCATATCCTACCGTGTTCATATTGACCCTTACTAGCTTATCAGGTAGTTTTTCGTGTCTCGTCTCAGTTAAATGGACTTGGTATAAGTAAGTAATTTACAAATCAATATTGTTAGAATTTCATCTTAATTGATTGTAATCGTCAACAGTGTGTCATAAAATTCTCCTCGCAAGGAAAGACTCGTATGGCTTTAAAATTTTTGGTTTTTAGCATGTTTCTTATAAAGATGCCTGCTTTGGGTATTGGTTTTTAGATTTTAAACGACTGCTATAAACTTACTCGTTTCAAAACTAATCCACCTATGAACATAAATTCTATTTGTTGTCATAAAGAAGAGATTTGTTTCATAATTTATGACTGTAATGTGCATTAATTATATATATGATTTTTATAAGCTGAGCTCATTCAAAAAACTTCATTTATGTTCAAAGTACAAAATAATTCCTTTTTGCCTCTGTACATTTATGAATAGTTTTATTTTTGTACAGTTACAATAATATTAATTTATAAGTAGATGATTGAAGTATTTATTTACTTATCTTTACATTTGATAAAAATTAAATTAGTGGACGTTTTTTGTACAAGAGTTACCATTATCAACCCGAATCTAAGAAATGTATATATAAATAAGTACTCTCAATTTCAAGATACATCGTATCTTGCATTACGGGGTTGTGAAGATTGTTACGTTAAACATTTTTGAAACCATGAACCGATCAATGTTAGACCACCATTAGAAACCTGGAAGCACAGGACGGCTGTTTCGTCCTGGTATGGGACTCCTCACAAATTCTCACAACCCCGTAATGCAAATTACCTGTGCTCACTAGTGACTAGCTTCGTGAGGAATCTTCTCCGAGTTCTAGTTGGAAGACGTGACCAGTGAAGTTCAACCTGTTCGGGTGTAGACAGTAACTACCGAAGACTGTGTATGAGGTTGCACAACTCCGTGAATTTGATCAAGTCAGATATTAACACCGTTAGGTGCCGGATCAGTGGTCTATCGGTTAGGGCGTTCGCGCACAATACCGAAGGTCCTGGGTTCGAATCCTGCGAGGTGCAGGAGTCGTGGATGCGCACTGCTGAGGACGAAACGGCCGTTTTCCGGTGCTTCCAGGTTTCTAATGGTGGTCCAACATTGATCGATTCATGGTTTCCTAAATGTGTAACATCGTATCTTGTTAAGGATAATCCACTGTGTGCGTCCATAACTCCGCGAAAAGGGATCAAATAAGGGACTTTCGACCTTGCGCGTAAACGCTTAACCCCTTGGCCAGTGAGCCGACATCTAACTGTGTTAATGTTTCTTTCGGTAGGTAACTGCCCTATACTCGACACAGTCGAACTCCACTACCTACGGCTTATGATTTTTCAATAAAGCTCAGTAATCTCCATAAACCTATAATGACAGTAGTCCACTGTGCTTCAGTAGGTAACAATATGAGCCAAAAATTAACTGGCTTTGTATGACAGTGGCATTAATCTCATTAATTATGTCAGATGTGTAGATCTTCATGGTTTCACTAACTTCCTTTGGTAATATTTTTGATTGTGATGGTTTCGAACTGCATGAAGTACGCCATTTCCTTCTGGTTTTACACGTACTCTATTCAGCGATATGCAAACAATTAAAAATGACGTGGTAGTATTTACATTACTAATGTAAAAAAAGAATCAGTATTTATTTAACATTAATTAAACACGAAAATGTTCATTATGAATTCAGTGCTATAAAAACAAATATAATGGGGCTAACAAAATTGACTACCTGTTAAGAGAGACTGACTTAACTTAAAGGTATTAGAGATACTCTAGAGATTAAAATACGCAATCAAGACTAAATAATCAAAACTAAATCTCACGACTGTTTGGAGGGGGGTATCTGTAAATTGAAAGTAACCTGCCATAAGATAAATCAAGTACACTAAAAAGCAAAAGCTTAGAGTAATGTCGATAATTCATGAATAAAAAATGACATACATTGTGTAAAGGAAGAATTACGACAGTGTTAGTGGATAGATCTTATGAGCTACAACATATGTACGTTACATTAAAGTATATTAATGAGAAGACGAAGCATATTGGATATAGTTTGTTAACAACTGCTGACTAGTTCAACTTTTGTAGGTTAGTTCATTTTCTGCTATGAATTTAATGGATGGATTGTCTTCTAAACTCCTTAACGAAATTTTTGTGTAAGAGCTGTGGTGTCATATGTTTCTTTTTACAATGAAATGTTGCTTAGTTTTTGGCAATAAAGTAATTTTCTTCCGACCTGTCATTGAGCAGCAATCAACTCATGAAGTTAAGGAAATCGGTCCAGTTATCTTAACAAACTTCACTATACATGTTGGCGATTCTTTTAAGCATTCGTTTTGAAAAGCAACAATTATGTGTTAGTGGTTTTGTGAGCGAACAGGTAATCATACCTTTTGTTAAACAAACTAATACGTTCGTACTAATATACTCTATTAACTTAATTTCAAAATCTTTTCTACAATTATGAGGATTTCACCAAATAACTGGAACATAACATAGGATTTGGAAATTCATCATTTCTGATGTGATATTTGTGTCCTTTGGGTTAACTACATGTAAACCATTGTGTTTTCATGAATCAGTAGGTGTATTCAGTTAGATTTTTATGTATGTATGTAATTTTCAGTCGAACTTTTTGCCTTATATAAACATTTTTATTTCACTATCAGTTCTCAAAATATGCCCGACTAATTTAAGTAAATAATTACTCTACTCCTAGATTATATTTATTCAATTAAAGTTCATTAATCACATTTGATTTGATTTGATTTCTAGTTGTGGGATTTAAGAGATGGTCAGTGTAAACAAACATTTCCAGGACATGAATCTGATATTAATGCTATTATTTATTTTCCAAATGGAATGGCATTTGCAACAGGTAGTGATGATGCTACTTGTCGTTTATTTGATATACGTTCTGATCAAGAAGTTGGAATGTACAGTCATGATAATATTATATGTGGTATTACAAGTGTAGCTTTTAGTAAAAGTGGTCGACTTCTACTCGGTGGATATGATGATTTTAATTGCAATATATGGGATACATTAAAACAAGAACGTTGTGGTAAGTGAATTGTATTTTTGGATGCTTTTTTAAAATTCCTATATATGGATGCCTTTAGTTATTTCTGGTTTACCGCATTATTTATTTTTGGTGATAAATACTATTGATTTCCTTTAAAATTCTATTGAGATTGCAAATTAGTTGTCTATTGCGCCGATAGAGTATTTGATTGATATATAACTGATGTCCATGTGAAAAAAGCGAACATGATCTACAAAATAAACTGTGAAAAACAGGATATCGGACAAGCTGATTGTCCTCTTCAGCTTCGCCTGCATGAACATCAATCAGCAGTCAAACTCCATCTTATATCTCCCACTGTACCATTACATACGGACAACTGTGGATATACATTCAATATGAAATGCTGTCGTTAGGAAACGAATACTAGGTAAGGATGGCAGATCAATAGATGAAGTGGTGAAACTTCATCAGTTGAGGTGGTTGGGACATGTGTTGCGTATGCCGAACCACCGACTGCCTCGATGAGCTATGTGTTGCAATGTAGGAGTAGGTTGAAAGAAAGTTAGGGGCGGCCAGACCAAAACATGGCAGAAATCCATGAAGCCATGTCGTTAATTGTCGACTACCTGGTTGGGGTCCGCGAGATGATAATAATCGATGGTTAGAGACCTTGAATGACATGGCTCAAAATCGTTCGCAATGGCGCCGGTGCATTTATTCTTTGTGTTCTCTCAAATCCCAATCTTCTGGATTCTTCAACACCTCTAGTTTCGACTCTCTAAACTTTTCTCACTGAACCATACTTCTTGAATAGTATCTTCTAACCCTAACCCCTCCGATTACTTCCAATTCCCTTACTACCTCTACTACTATTGGATTTGAATTGACAATTATACCTCTGTGCTGATGTGGTATGGCAACATGAACTGATGTACTTACGTACGAAGTTCTACGTTGCATCTGACTGACTGACTGCATTCAATATGAAAAATATTGAGATTCTAGACAGAGAGAATATGAAGAACACCAGAGAGTTTTTGAAAACTTAGCACTCAGGTCAATCGACAATTAACAAACACATCGCATTGATCCAAATTATCAACAAATCAACGTCAAGCACTTAATTCAATGGAGTATACAACCAAAATGATGAAGTAGACAATGATAGGTTAAAGTTCAATAACAATCAATCAAGATCGAGATCAATAGGACAAGCTATGAGCCTATCGGTGGAGAAATTCTAATAATTCATTTCTACCTACTAATCATGATGAATAGTTTTAAAATGTTCATATGTCGTAACATCAGGCCTACATTTCATTCACTAGTCAAAGTAAATCGTCACTGGAGAAAAATAAAAGCAAGAAAACAAGATTAAACATGTGACACTGTCTACCATGGACGTCATCAAATGCGACTGAACATAATATTGAGGTATTTAAACAGAGGTTTCATACGGCGATAGGAATAAAAAAGATGCATGAAAAATACCCAACCACATGATCGGGAATTGTTGTAACTTAGTTTTAAACTAGTGTTTTAAAGAAACAGGAGCGTGGTTTGATGGTATGTAAAGTAATCTATACCATGAATTCAGTTAAGAAAGTCACTTGAAAACACTGTTAATTATGCATGAATAAAATTAATTTATGCAGATTTGATCGTAAATGGAAGAAATCTTCAATTAGTACATCTTGTTATGCCATTTTTGTTTCATTAGTCAGTCCGTTACAACGTAGAACTTTGTACATACGTACATAAATGGTATGGTATGTCTGATGATTATTACATGCACAACTGAGATGACACAAAAGAAAGGCACCTCGAGAAAAAGGTCCATAGAAATATCAAAGAGTAAACCTTCTAGTCCGAAGTATTGTGCTCATGCCATGCTATCTATATAACTCATCGATCGAGAATGAGTTGTGTTGTATGTCACAGTGTAATATTAGAATTTTTGTATAGTTATAAAGCTGACTATAACATAAATACTTGTACTTGAAATTCCTAAAATTGTCGTATTTATCTATTCGTCTGAAGAAATAAAACATAAACTCATTGTTTTATTTTAAATATGCAGACAAAAATCATACCTCTTTATTAAATTGTGAACAATTTAGTGGAAGATACAGATCACATGATGCCCAGCTACATCGAAATCCATCTGTTGATTCGTCTAGATAATGATCTTGTACAACATGATTGACTAATTCATTTCTATCAGTAAACCCAAGTGAACAACATTCCACCTAGAGAGGAATAAATGGAGAATTCAAGTTACAGATTTATAATAATCTATCTATCACATTTGTATCTGATGTTGTATCGTGTCTTGTGAAAAGCAACACTTTCATGTTTTGATTAGAAATAAGAAACATTTAAATGTTTGTTTTGCATTTGATAGCCGACATACATACACAACAGAATTAAAAATGAAACCAGTTTACACTGAACAAAGATGTTTCTATTATTTTTGTAATGTGATCGGCTGTAGAAACCATTGAGTGATGTCAGTCAGTCAGTTACAACGTAAAACTTCGTACGTCCGTACATAAGTTCAGGTTACGATAACACATTAGCAGAGACTCAATTGTCAATGCGAATCCTATAGTCGTAGAGGTAGTAGAAGTATTGGCAGTAATCGAGCAGATTAGGGTTTGCAGTTATTATTCAAGAAGTAGAATCTAGTGAAATAAACTTCAAAAGACAAAGATAAAGGTGATGACGAATTCAGCAGATTAGAATTTTAGAGAACACAACGACGTATGGATGCATCTGCGCCATTGCAAATGATTTTAAGCTATGTCGTTCAAGGTATCTAACTATCGGTTACTTTCATCTTGCTGACCCTAACCAAGTAGTCTACATCTACTAACATGGCTCAGTCCACTTGTCAGTGACTTCATGAATCTGTACTGAGTGATGTGAAGAGCAAGTTTCGACAAAAGCCATTAAATATTCCTTTATTGTACACATTTTCATTGAAATTTTCGCATTCGGTTTCTGTAGACACACTGTAGTCATTAATTTTCAACACTGGCTTGTATATTTTTATCATATCAGTTGATTATCTTTTTAAGAGATGAGGGTTTTTTTTTTCTCACTACAATCTCCATACATTTGAATGTTTATATCTTTGTATATTATGATTTTCTTAAACATTTTTTAGGCGTTCTAGCCGGTCATGACAACCGTGTTTCTTGTCTCGGTGTTTCTGAAGATGGTATGGCAGTATGTACTGGATCATGGGATAGTTTTCTAAGAATATGGAATTAAAATAATACTGTTGTTGTTGTTACAATATTAATACTCTCGATATATATATACATATATATCCACACACACACACACAATGGACTACCCACAATTTCACTCTATATTATAAGAGAAGTTCTTATTTATTATTTCATTTGCACAAACCGTGCAAATTCCCTTTCTGTTTATTATTTATGGGTTTTTTTCTTGTTTTCTTCCTGTTTATTTTTGTTTCTGAACTTGTCTACTTACAGTTTCATTTTCAATAAGAATATATTTCTCTCTGAAAAAAAGAAAAAGAATAAAAATGTACGTTAATTCTGCTTTATCAAAAAAAAATAATTATTTCAATTGATCGTGTTGTGTGTGTGTTGTTCTAAGCTTTCTTACTATTTAATTAATTAATTAATCAATGAATGAATTACTTAATTCAAATGAACTTGACAGCATTTCTTTGCTTCTTTACTTTATGTTCTTGTCCAGCAGAATTCATTTGTCTATTGTTGTTCATTTGATTGGTTGGTGGTTGGTGGTTATATGACTAAATTACTATTATTATTATTTCTCTGTCTCTCCCTTATCCATTCATTCTAATGTTGTTAAATGCGCCACGAAAAATCATGCTGCTTTTGTTGTGTACTATTCACAATATTGTTTTTTTCTCTCTTGTTTTATTTATATATTTTGCATATGACGAATGTTTTTCTCTATCTCTCTCTATATGGCCCCTACCCCCCCCCTCCGTGTGTGTAAGTAAAGTAAAGTAAAGTAAGTAAGTGAGTAAGTAAGGTAAAGCTGACTTATTATAATAATAAGCCTCTTTTTTTTCTTTGGTGTGTTTTTGGTTTATTTGCCTTTTTTTTTGGTGTGTATATTTTTATGAAACTAGTCATTTCTTATGAATCGTGTTTCTTCTATATATACATATACATATACATATTACAAATCTATCTATCTATCTATCTATTTATATTATTATTGCGCTTTGGATATTATCATTTTGCCTTTATTTTGTTTCACATACAGACACATGCAGAAATATAATTGTTTCTTTTCGTTTTTTTTACAAAATAAAACAAACTATTTTTAATCAGCTTATTCTCTTAGGAAAAAGTTAATAATAATCATTGGAATTTTCCTTTTTTCTGTTTGTTTGTTTTTTGGTTGCATTATTATTATTATTATTATTTTGGGGAAATTTATTTGTAATATTCAATAAATCACTGGGTGTGTTTTAGATAACATTGCTTTTCATAATAAATTGGTATTTTACGGTGTGTTTGTTGTCTTTTCGTTGATTTTGTGTAGTAGATTATTTGAATTGTGTTAATTGTGATATTTGTGAATATTGAATGTGACTGCTCTATGGTGTTGAAATTAGAAAATCATTTAGTTCAAAACAGTGGTTCCCTTTGATAAATTTGAATAGAGAAATAAGAAGACATATTTTGTGAGATAGTACCATTTCGTGCTTTCTCGTCAGTCACAACATACAAGCAACATGTTATTGGTGTAAATACAGCAGTTTTGAAGATAAGGTCAAAATTTCTTATTTAGCATGACATTCACTCACTAGAACTAGAACAGTTGTTTTTGAACACATAAAGTTAGACTTTTCCGACCAATCAAGATAGCTTCGAGTAGTTTCAGTGTGTGTGGGTTTTGATGACATGTCACAACTCTAAAAGCTGATTTTGGGTCAATTTGATGACCACTCATCATTAGATGTTTTGCAATGGACGAGGCTGGGTTTCTAGATCAATTTTAAGATGACGGACTAGGTTGATGAATCAGGCATTTGATTAGCCATTCTGGAATATGTTCCCCTATCCCGTCTACCAATCGGCGATCTGTCCTCCCTAAGTAACTTTCTCCGCAGTTACATGTGAATTGGTAAATACAGTGGGATTTGGACTGAATCGGTCTTGGAGACTTGATTGGGGTAACTGAGATCGATTGGGTAGTTGTGATAAGCCTCAGATTAGCTGCATTGAAGGTCTTTTTTATTGCAGCTGCAGTCTGTTTGGTTGTACTTTTCATGCATTGATCACCCTTGAAAGTTAACTGTAGGTACACTGGTTGCTATCAGCTTCGTCGTAGTTGTGTTCTGATGACCAATAAACGTTTCGGGATATCCGTTTGATTTAAGTGTGTCAGTAATAAGCTTGAATTCGTCGTTCAATGTATCAGCAGTGCAGATTCTACTTGCTCGAGCGAATAAAGTTTTGACAACAGAACGTTTATGTTGTATGGGGCAGAAACTAGTGATGTGGAGGTACTGTCCCGACCAGGTGGGTTTGCAGTGTACTTTTCGTCTGATTGATCCATTTAGTTCAAACTGTGACAACTTGTTCCATTGCGATATGTTTAATCGCGTGCATATTGCTAATTATTATTATTTATGAGACAATTGATCCGCTACGAAGCGTGATTTAACTAAGTTTTGTCAATTCACGAAGATGTCAACCAAATTTTTTTTATCATATCATCTGATTTGTTTATGTTGCAGTGAAATACTGTATATGGGTCTTTATACACATAGCTGCGTTTACTTACCTTTCTTTAAAGTACTTATACTTCGTTGATTGTTTCATTCACTCGATCAGCAACAACTTAGAACTTGTCACTTGCGTACATTAGTTCAAGTTGTCATACCACATTAATAGCATGGAGACATGCGATTGTCGATTCAGTTCACATAGTAGTAGAAGTATTAGTGGTAATCGAAAAGATCAGAGTGATCGGAGACATGGGTCGATAAGTGAAATAAGCCAGACAAAAAGAAAGGAAGAGGAAAATCGGAAAGTCATGAAGAATTCAGAATCTCAGTATTTGGGTTAAGACAATGTATGGGTGCATCCGTGCCATTGTAAACGATTTTCAGTCATGTCGTCCAAAGTCTCTAACCATTGGTTGCGATGGTCTCACAGATCCCAACCAGGTAGTCTACACGTGGAGCGAACTCGTCTAAGCCATAATTGACACAAGTTTACAAAAGCCACTGAAGCCTTCTGTATCAGTGCTAAGATTTCGCCACACATCAAGCCAACACGACTCATGAGACTTCTAAGATAAGTGAAGCAGTCGACACGTTCAACTACTTCATTCCTTATCACTAGTTCAGGTGCCAATCCTGTGTCTGGGTCTTTATACGTATAGCTGCGTTTACTAACATTTCTACAAGATACTTAGACTTCATCTATTGTTTTGTTCAGTCGATCTGTAACAAAGTAGAACTTGTCACATCAGTTCAAGTTGCCATATCACATTAGCACAGAGAGATGGGATTGTCGATTCAAATCACATAGTAGTAGAGGTTGTAGCAGTATTAGCTGTAATCAAAAGGATTAAGGATCAAAGATATGAATCAAGAAGTTTATCTGTTAGAAAAATGTATAGAAACAGAAAAGAATAGGAAAAATGAAAAGCATTGAAGAATTCGTAATCTTAGTAGTTGGCTAAAGACAAAGAATGGATGCACTTGTGCCATTGAAAATGATTTTGAACCATGTAATACACAGTCTCTAACCACCGGGTGCGATTGTCTCACGGACCCCAACCAGACAGTCTACACGTGATAACATGGCTAAGTCAATTTGTCAGTGGCTTCGTGGACTTGTGACATGTTTTGTTCTGGCCGCTCCTGGCCTTCTTCCAGCCTCTCCTACATCAGACAGCGTCGCTCGTTTGATTAGTCGATGGTTACGCATACGTAACACATGTGTCAACCACAACTGATGAACATTCATCAATTGATCTACCATCCTTACGCAGCCCCCTCTTCCGTAACAACTGTATAGTCCCTTTAGTCAGCAAACGGATATCTAGTCTACGCCATAAGTGACGCAAGTTGGCGAAAGCCAATCGATCCTTCTGTATCCGTGCTGAGATTTTGTCATACACCAGGCCGTCAGCATTGATGAGACTTCCAAGATAAGTGAGGCAGTCAACCCACTCAACTGCTTCACTCCCTATCACTGGTTCAGATGCCGATTCAAGCCAATCCTAAAGCTAGATTTTGCTTTCATTATTCGTCGAAGTATTATTGACTAGTATTTTAGACACTGTATTAGTCAAAGTGGTCCCTCTGTGATTATCACGAGAGGACTTTAAACCCTTCTTATGGATGGAGACAATCAGTGATTGAGACCAGTGAGATGTGATTATGTTCCCAGATTCTAATTAAGGTCTTGTTAGGATATTCATCCAATATCCTAAGAGGATTATTGGTCAATTCCTACTGGTCAAGTTTATGATCGTCCTAGATATCTATGTCACGTGCTCCAATGTTGTTTCTTATTGGTCGTCTTAACTGTCAATTTCACAGACTTCGATGCTGTTTCCTATTGAACCTAAATGTATAAATACGCATTATCTGTAATGTTCTATGACCCGGACCTGGATCTTTAGTCCGGAATCCTTGCCTTTTTCAGGACTCGGACCTCGTACTTTTTGGATGCTTGTAGAATACATGTTCTACCTCATATCAAGTGTTCTTCTTTTATTCAGTGTCGCCGGATCCTAGCTCTCCTTTCCCGATTAAGGTAAACTCGTAATCGTTCAAGCATATCAAATGATATTTTTACGTGCATGTGTAACAGATCTCAGCCGAAATAGCTGCTAAAACTTAACCTCCATCCTTGAAAATCTCAAGGATTAATCTGTCGAATTCTGCTGCTATCCCTCCCTTCAGACTGCCTATCGACTTTACAACTTAACATTACTTGCATCAACTTACCATTCAGGTTGACTGGAGATGGTGGGCAACTGAAGTGTCGTATTGTTATTTGTTTGGTCATAATAAATTTAATACAGTACATTGGTCAATAAGTGTGTTCGATGTTCAAGTCCCAATTCGACAGATTGGCGGACAACCAACAGAATAAAAGTAATTGACTCCATAAATAAC